GTGCTTGGTTGTGCATGTATATATATATATATATATATATATATATACTGTATCAAGGACTCTAAAGGAATAGGCTCAGCGATGAAGTCATCCCATCATTTCCATTTTGTGCTGTTCTGTTAGATCCGATGATTGTTTCTCAATGTTTCCGTTCAATTCCAGAAAATATCATTGTCTTGAACAAACCTTACGGCATAGGTGCACAGCGTAAGTTCTTCTGCATCTCGTGGTGACTTGGCTTGACCATCTTTCTGCAGTGTGTCGAAACTACTCACTGATTTGCTTTTCCTTGTTTTTCATTTTGCTCCTGATCAGGCTGAAGAACTCGGCCTCACCAACGCCATAGCCTCGAATTACTTGTCTAGGAAACTCAACCGTGGAAATTAGCTAAGGTATATACCAACGTGGTAGTAAAGTATTGAGGTAGAAATAACGATGCAGTTCAACCGTTCACATGCAACTAAGTTTCCCCTAGCGGTCCATCGTCGGGCTTCAAGTGTGTGGAGCGATTTCAAAGCCATTAGATCGGAATTTTATCCCCAGTTTTGTTGCAATGTCATTGGAAGCCACTTTCTTAGGTTCAAGTTAAAAACAACGTATCGGCAGGAATTCCGTAGATCTATTCATAACATAGCACTGCTAACCGTAGTCCTCGTTTTACCGTTTGTATGAGAACACCACAATAGTTTTTCACGTTTCTGTACCATCCTCAGCTTTTTTCAACTCCGTGGCTGAGAGTAGTTTCGTATGCCCTGCTCCATCTCCGCTATAGTGTACATTCCAACTACCCAATAGATCCGTCTTAAGCCACCCAGTACACAGCATTTTTATCTACGTTGTCATATTTCAGGTTGATTCAACTAGTTCATTTTGTTGGACCAATCTGGTCGATGCAGTTTATACTTTCAGTTCAGTCTTCATGTTGCAAATAAAACCAAATTATGCTGAAAAGCCGAGAAGCCCCGTACAGGTATTTCATCCTTGTTGGGAGTTATCTGCAGCGTGCGTCTAATGAAACTCGGTGAACCCATGGCCTTCCGGCTAATGGTTGAACACTCATCCGTTCGGTATCGAGCGGCTGAACAGCTCTCAGTCACAGGCTATAGCGCCGTTTCTTCTTTACTCACAGAAACATTACGTGGTCACTTATTGATTGGGTCCTCGAGTGACGAACTCCCAGGTGGAATTTTCGCTCATTGGGTGAATCTTATTCTTCCCGTGAGCTCTTAGATTGTTGGTAGTGTGAGTTTCGGAAACCTCTAACGGCCGTTGTGCGCAGGATTACAGATAACACTTTGCTGTGTGTTTCACTTTTTAAAAGTTAGTTCTTTTGCAAATATTTACTGAACAGTTGGTTTTCCTAGATCGTTTCAAGGTCCGCTACAATCCTTAGTTACTACAAGCTAATCGCCACTGTCCAAGCGGAGAAACTACCGTTCATGCATTCCATTGGATTTGCTCTGCTTAGGGTTATCTGCTTTGCCATAAGTGATCCCACCCAGTGCTTTTTCAAGTCTTTTGTACGTCCACAAGCTGAACATTGGCGGGGTCTCATAACCGTCACAAACTACTTTGTGTTAAAAAGGGGCTTAAAGGTATTCAAGTAAAAGGTGCGTAAAACATGAATCACAAACGTGTATCTAGCGCCAGTCGAAGTACGTTGTTCTGTGTCAGATTTGTTCAACTTTTTGAACTTCGTTGATATCGTGTTAGCTAACATCTACCGCTCCCTTTCAAGGATATTGATCATTTCTTTTATGTCAGCTGGACCAGGTCTCAAAAACAGCATAATAGATCTATTGCCTCGTTTGGAGCATCGAGTGCGAAAGCTTGAAGGAAGGCCGGAACCCTCCGACGACAATATTGAAGAATTTCTTCTGGCGCATAGGCTGGACAAAGAATGCACTGGTGTAATGCTGGTCGCACGGTGAGCAATTACATTTTGATGGTTAAGTTTAATTTTTTAAGTTAACTTATACATCGAGTCTACTGAATTTCGTTCTGTCCAGATTGTCGACCAGTCGTTTTATGAAGTCATTCTAATAAGCCTCCAGTGGCAATTACCACACGCATCGACTGTTAGTCCCTGCTCATGTGAAGTTTTCTAGCTTCTAATCACATACATTTCTCCCAACATAGTACTGCAAATCGTTTTTGGTTCACTGGTAAAAAAACTGAGTGTATAGCTAGTAGCATTGCTGTTCTGTACCTGTACTTTCTGTACCACAAGCATATTGGTTCTGTGCTTGTTGGATGATTTTTTAATTGAACTCGCATTGTCGTTACGACAGCGGTAGCTGGTGTTGGGGTTTGGTTCCTGGGTGTTTGGTGTGCGGAGGTTGAACGTACTGCAGTTTTTTTCCAGCCCAACTGGTGCAAGCCTGATGGCACTACATTATTGACCACTTCATAACCCTAGGGCTGTTTTATCATTTGTCTGTTTTCGATTTCAAGTCTTGATTTCAAGTAACGACAAGCAGAGGAATGCTGTGTAGCTCTTTCATCACAGTTGGTAGCAACGGTGTCTCGTGTATATCTTTTCGACCACTCGGCTTTTTTTGTGAACATCCTATCTATCAGAGTAATCAGTCGAACGTGAATGGGAGATCGCTGCTGGTCGCACCCAGCTTGATCACAGGTGGTTGTTTTAGGGAATCTACTGGTTCTTTTTCAAAGACTATCCTTCACAGATAGCGTTTTCAGGTTTCATGCCATGTCTTTAACGCTGACTATCCTCCAAGGTACTAATAAGAACAGGGATAACACTCCGTTCTCATGGTGTACTAAAACACCCTGTGTAAGTTTTCTTCACATCGAACATGAATTAGAGGAATCACCACAGGCCTTCATACATGAAACTGATGGAGGCAAAAAAGTAGTTATTCTGAAGCCAAAACCGGGTCGCTCATAGTCTGTCACTTATGTCATGCTGAGGCATGCGGTCCATCCAAAGCAGCAACACTGACTGACAATTGCTGCTCATTTTCCTTCCATTAGGAATAGGGACGCTTGTTTGAAATTACAAGAGGCTTTTGCACGTCATTGGTTCGAAAAGAATTACTTGTGCATCACCTCTGGCATTCCGAAGACCGCCAAAGGAGTCATCCAGTTGCCCCTGGTTGAAAAGAACTTCAATGGAGTTTACAAAGTAGGTCTTCCATTCCTTTGAATATCCTCCCCTTTTTGAATCGAATCCTATCCTAAGGTTTGCCGTAAGTGGCCGGGAACATATCGATCTCTACCTGTTTTATCCTAGTAATTCAGTAGGGCTCATGAAGTGGCTTCGTTTTTACATCGCCGTACAGCATACATTGCACAGGCAGGAATCAAAGTCGTGCTTTGAAAAGAGGCCGATCGAGACCTCACTCCACAAACGGTTAAATTTCGAAGCCTACTCGGCACGGCGTTAGAGGTAATCAGATTTGCCATACCGATAAGCAGACTATTAGGAGCAGCAAAACCAAATGTCAAATATGTCAAACGACCACGAAGTATTTTTCAACGCATCCTGAGATCTCCTATCCGTGAGCCCAATTAGAGGTTTTTCACTATTTACCAAATGTGGTGATAAAAAACAATTTTGTTCATTTGAAATTGGGGACAGTTTGAGTTCCTTATATCTCAGTCAAGAGACTAGAAGCCGGTGTGCAATTTGGAGTTGGAAAAATAGTCCGATCTCCAACACGACCTACCAAATCGACGACCGGTCAGCGGCTTACTTGGTAAGTGACAGAAATTTCTGTACAAGGCCTGAATAGAAATGGTATGGTTATCTTGTGAAAACCAAATGAAGTTGTGTTTGTGTTTGTTATGGACAAATCAGAGCATATGGAGTTACTGGTATCTACTACTTAAACAGACAGAAGAGGGGAGTGAGTTTGGAGGCACACTGGTCAATGTGCCTGCCATCCCACTCTCTTTTTCCTAAAATTATGTGCAAATGTCTTTCGCGTGACCTTTGCGCGTGATTTTTGTTACCATACAGACCGGAATATGTGCACATAGTTAAGAAGATATGTGATGATATCTCAAGATTTCAGTCGCTAGTCAATCCAAGCGAAATGACAACCAGGTGTTTCTCCTCGAGACTAAAGGCTCTAAAATGTACGAATTTTATTGACCTCACACACTTTGAAAGCTTCAAACCGTCAGACAACAGCATCCTACGGCTTTATGATTTGCTTAAGGTCCACAGTCCCGGGCGCCCTATGAGGCCTATTCTGACCGCGTGCCGTACCACTCTGTTGTGAACGGATAATAAGTCCACTGACAGCTTGAATTATGATACCCTCTAACTCATCGAAGTTGCCAAGCAAATCGATGTTTCGGAAAAATCCGAGTTCTATATAGATGTGTTTTTTCGTGCGTTCACTTGTATATCACTGATCGAAATGAGTAGTTATCTGTGACTATCTTAGAGAGAGACCTCAGCGATTCTCACTACCCATAGAACCGCAGAAGCACTTGTTACTTATATTTCGATTCAGATCATCTTAATTGGACAACTCTACCGGCAAATTGATGATGTAGCACTTGGTTTGCCACCCGGCCCCTTGTTGGCCGGGGTTGATGGTAAAGCTAGAGCGTAGTGGTACAACGTCCGAAATTCAGCGGTGTTCAGTCTGTCGATGTTATGTGGATTATATTCTTATGACCCTACCGAGTGACTCTGGTGAATCGTCATAGCTTCTTACATCACTCAGCCGGCTCTCCAGTCTACCCTTGCAGTGGAACAGAATGTTCTATTCTTAAATGCTTTGTCAACCAGCCTAGTGATGGCCGGCTGTACGTCTACCGCATGCGCACCTTTGTCGATCAGTACTTTAACTTTTTCAGTGCAGTTCCGCTTCGAAGAAAGCGGGTCTTAGAGAAAGGACTAAACCCGATAAGGCATAAAATCTGCCCACGTGCTTCCCTACAGATGGCACTAAGTCCGCTTTTCACACTGGACTCCAAACACTGCATGGTTGCCCACTCGTTAATTCAGTTCAGCTCATTTTAGAGTGAACCCTATCTTCTTCTGGCCTAAGGTATCCACCAGTTAACGAGATCCAAGTCGCCAGTCAAAAGCGATGTCGAACCACCGAAAGTTTCAGTCGACCGTTTTCGTCCATCAGTCAAGAGCGTGTCGTCGCTCACTCGCTTATGGGTTGCTTACCTACGATCGTCACGATAAGACAGAAATTTTACCGGTCGAATTCAACCACTATCAGCATCCTGGTCCTAGGGGGTTTACCTGAGGACGCATTCGGCTAAGCACAAATACCCATAGTTCCGTTTTTGTGTTTGCCACGGGGGTGATGGAGGTAGCTTATGTCATTTAGTGAGCTTCAAGTTCACTGGTTCAATCCTGAGATTAGGTCAAGAGCCAGTACTCACACGCAACTTGATATTTATATGTTTTAGTTGCTGAGATTTCCTCACTTATTTCACCACAATTTACTCATCCAACTAACTCACTTCTTACCTTATGTATATTAAGAAGGACCATTAGTGCGTATAGGCTCATCAAGCTTCCGAACTGTGGTTATCTTCACAATTTCCTCGCCAAACATCATGACTTCCCAGTAGAGCGATGTATACTCAACACATTCTCAGTTCGCTGCGTTGGGTCGTCTTTAGTGCCTGCGTAGTCCTGTTCTTTTTTATCATCTTATACTGCACTGTGCATTATCTGGACAACTCCAACACCACATGCGCTGTTGATTGGGCCAACAACGTGTTTATTAGAACCATATGAACTTGGCATCCATCTGAATTGTACACAGCTGTCTCCGGTCTGTATTACAGTAATCCGACGGTGACAACCTAATCGAGTCGTGTTTATTCTGTCAGTTGCAGACTGTCGCGTGCAACATGCTCCGTGTGCACTCACACGACGCAATGTGTCTATTAGCATATATGGTGTACCCCGAGAACCTCGGTTTCTGTGGAAAGTTTAGTGAAAGCATGGCGCAGTGGAATGAGATGTTATAACTTGACATTTCGAGTGCCGTGAGTAACGTTTTTCAAGGATTTTTACAATCTTTGCACATGGGTCTACCACCCTCTCTTCCGTGTGGTATGTTCCTGAGATCAACTGTTGGTCCGATCCAACCACCATGTGTGTCATTGTCTGTGCCTTGACCATAATGTGGCCCAGTTTATTGTTGTCTGCTGTGTGTTGCAGCATTGTTGAGATCCTTATTTAATGTCTGGCTACTGTTTACTAAGGTTCAAGCCAGGTAGGCTGGAGGCTGGCTCCATCAGTACAGTTGACACAGTTCGGATGTGTGTGAATCGTTAGTGCATCAGTGCATGTTCGTTCTACGTTTGATCTCAATCTTAACTTAGGTATGTCTGTGCCATTGAAGCTGGTTTGGAGGTTTGATTGGAGTTTCTGGATTTTAATTGGTAGCTCACGTTGAAGTTTTTCAAGCGCGATTGAGTTTCGTATAGTAAATCATACATACCGTTTGTTCTTTGTCATTCGTACGTGGATTTGCTTGGCCCTCCAGCTTGTTTGTCCGAAAATTCTGTACAGGACATTTGGTAGAAATAGTTAGTGCGATGCTTCGGTTCGGTACGGCGCTCCATAGGTCGTACGAGATGCCGTTATGTTTTATGTGTTCGGAGGAACTGTTTAATATAGTAATCCAGAACTGTTTTCTGGATAGATTCGGAAGTGCCGTCCCTGTCTGGCGGTTTCGGATAGCTTCTCAATTTTTTTTTCTCAATGAGTGTTTTATGGTACCTACTTCTCTGCAATATCCTGCTGAGTTTTCTTCAGTTCATTTACTTGCATGGACTCGTCCGAGTATGGCCTCGTGGCACGATTCACTAAGAATCTGACAATTGTGTATTTGAGGTAGCGCGATGCGAACGCATAATACATGTATCATGTGGCATCATTGTCTTCTTTGAAGAGGAGGAGAAGGCGCATGTGTTTTAGGGTCAACTGACCAAAGTCATCCCGTCCTTTGGTATGCACTTTGCACCCATAAAGTATAAGGTCATGCATGCTCCTTGACACGCAGTCATTGAACCCGCCACTTACAATCCTGGGATAGCACACTCGAAGTTGTGGACTGTTGTGCGTGTATTGTAAGCTGTATTAGTTCTTGTCGTAGTGTGACAGATGAGGTCAATGCACGAATCTGCAAAGTCCGGGTCGCGTTTGCTAATTTTACACGCCTATGGTGTCAGAACAGTATGAATCTCAGGGGACATGTGCATCAGGCTACAGTACAGGCTGTTTTGTTGTATGACTGTCAGACTTGGGATGTTCGAACAGCGGAACTGAGACGCCTTCAGATGTTCGGCAATCGTTGTCTCAGAAGTATCGTTCGTGTAGGTTTTTGTTGGCGTATCCGTAACGAGGCAACTAGAAAGCGAGTGTTTGGTTGTGCAAAGGATACTTCCATTGAACATTCTGTCCAGCAACAGAAGCTGCGTTTGTTGGGACATGTGTTGCTTATCCCGAAACATCGTTTGCCGAAAAGAGCGCTTGTTTTCATGCCCACCTCAGAGTGGCGTCAGCAGAGAGGTGGCCAATCCTTGACCTGGCGGAAGGCTATGAAGGAGATTACGAAACGCTTGGCTGCTGTTGGTGCTGCTCGCCTTCCAGGATGGGGACCGTGTGATCTCCCTCTGAGCCTAGTTGGATATGCTGCAATCTATGGCTGCTAATCGATGTTCATGGTGTTCTTGTTGTTAGGTTACCTGATTGAGTGTCTGGAATTGTAGACTTCTCGGAATGAGTATTGTCCACTTTTATTCTTTTCTTCACAATAAGACCTTCAAGTAAATCATGGGTGCACGGCAATGAAACATCAGTGTTGAACATTGATGTCATGCTATCGGCGATGGTCGCAACTAGTACCGTATAAGGGAATTTATGTCACAATAAAGCTTTTTCCACACACTTTCGTTTGCCCCAAATTTCCCTTTCATCTGGCCTGTGACGGTATTCTACCGGAATCCCACTTGTGATGACCTAGTCAGCGCCCTAAACGGGAAGCTACCTATGCAGTCCGGCATTCGCGCGTATTAAGTCCTTTATCATTGACAAGGCTAATTTCTGCTTCTCTGTCGACGGAATAGCCTGTGTGAATATTAGGGGAACCGCGTTCGTTGACTTTTTCTGGTTTGGTCAAGCGCACCAGTCGATCAGGCGGTTATCCAGACCGGGGTTCACGGTAAAATGAAGGCATTAAGGGACTGTGGTCTACAACAATGACAATCAAGTAAAGATATAAAGGAATTTCAAATTAGCCAGTTCGGTTAACTAGATGTGTCAAGGAGCTGACGCTTGACAATCGGATGGCGTGTATCGTCTCGTGTGCATTCATCTATTTGTTTGTTGGTTGTGATGCTATCAAACACCGACAGTCAGGAAAACGAGAAACATGGGTTGCGACTGTGCAAACGCTTCTGAAACGCCGTATGGGGACTGTTTTTGTGGCAAGAAGTAGTTATTCGCCATCAGCTAAACGTTCCAGCAGGGCAACTTTAGCTTCTCATCGGGTTGTTAATACATGCTTATCGTGAACGAGTTTCGTATGCTACTGGCCTACTCGCCGGGCGATTGGCCGGGAATTTCAGTGTGAACTGTTGTTGTCACTACCCCGTACGTCATAGTGGACGGTATTCAATGCGCTGATGCTTGCTATCGTGGTCCGTGTGGTACACCAAAGAAGTTGGCGCAGTTGAAGAACCACTTACTGTGTATGGAGGCGTACATCATAAGTTAGATCGACAAACCGCCAGAAAATAGGATAGGCGAAGTAACGACATGTAAAATCAAGGTTGCTGATGAATCTCTTGATGGTTTGTCTTGAATTTAAAGCCTACCGTGGCTGTGGCTTCTTACATTAATAAATAATTGCGTTGTCACAAAGCAGCAGGTGGCCGTATGACTATTTCGTGCAATATTGTCGTACATACCACCTTATTGTGCCTTGGGATTTCTTGCAGGCTTGCCAAGGCATTTGGTTACTTCGAAACCGTAAATAATCTCTTTCGAAACACCAACTACGCGTCATCTGAATATCATCTGTACTTCCTCACTTCGTTTGCTCCCTAGATGTGTGTACTCCCGTTAAATCGCCATGTGCAAAGTGAATCTCGCGATGCATTACGATCTGATCTGTCAGATGAAGCAGACGCAGCTCAGCTGAAAATGGACCTTGAGTCAGACGTTGGTGAAGCTGGTCATCCAAGCACACACTACGAAATGTTGGATCGAAAGAATGCAGCCGCGTTGCTGATATGCTCTGCAACACAAGGTGCGTGCTAATTGGATGTTTTGGTTCTCATGTTGAACTACTTCCTGTGGTGGAGGACTGACGTAGAATTGTGGCTTCCTTTGTAACGGATATCATTTCCATGCCTAACTGTAACCCATTCCCACTCTGATAGGGTGTTTCCACCGAATAGATAGTCATTCGAGGCTGCAGCTCGGGTAAATGAAGTGTATTTGAAATTGTTTTATTTACTGCACTTGATGATCGAACCATTGAATCAAAGTACGCGTAAAGTGAAAGAGCTGCCTTTCACCGAAATTTGTTTGTGTTCATTCCTTACACGGGTAGTGCTTTCGTGCACTTAAGTGGTCTTTCATCTCACTTCCCCTTTCTTCCCATCCTCTTTATTGATATTCAACCCCATTTATTGCTATCACCTGTGAATAGCTCGGGTTCAGCATATTCGTCGGACACCAGCCATAAACAACGAGGCTTGTGTGATTTGCAGTTCTGGTTTTATTGCGCTCAGTATCTACGAGCAGTGCTTTAACTTGGCGAGTCTCTCCGCTGGATCGCTTCCAAACTCATACCTTGGCATACTCCTGTGAAAACTCGAATTGCATGCCTTTTCTTGAAATGATATACTACAGTACTAGGGGTCTTAGTTAACGCCTGGACGGAATCGTCCAGTTTCACCCTGCTACGAGAACCCAGTGGAGATTCTAGGATTTGCTAAACTTAAAATTCGGGACGATAAACAAATTATGCGTGCTGTACGTATTGTGACGAGGATTATTACCGGGCTGTTTATTCGAATCTGCACATTGGCACCACTGCAACACGCGTGTCACTCTCGTCAGTTGCACGCACTGAAATAGCACTCATTGCGGCCGTAGATTTTGACACTTGATCACATGTGTGCATGCGCTTTAAATAACGGTTTAGGCCACGTGCTTGTCAGGCGCAACGTCCGGCACGCTGGTAGCTTTCATCAGTGGACAGCACTTTAACTTCATGTGAGGCAATTCAAGGTCATTTGCTTTCGTGCTGCTGCCTTATAGCATTTAGCATCTACACACCGGCTGTCCATAGATCAAGAGAAGGCTCTATTTAAACTGTCCGATTCGAGTGCTCCGAACTGCCTAGTTGCACTTCAGATAACTACTTCACGTGGAACTACTTGAAGTGTAGTTAGTGATAATCAGTGACTGTTGAATGCCGTTCAGAGTAGATTGCAAGTGACATCATCCCTGTATTGACCAGAGGTCTCCACATTTAACCAGATGACTGCTTCGGTGATCTGCACAAAAGTATGCATTTTGCTGCGATACTTCGCTAACTGTCTTTTGAAGGCATTGGACGAAAGGTTTTGATGTTTGGATGATAGTCATGGCCTGAATCTATATTAATCAACTCAGATATTGCTTTGTATCCCGTCTTATGATTTTATGTTTGTGGCGGTGCACATATTGTAGCACATCACAAGTTTGTCAGTACAGTTCCATGGTTGCTAGCTGAGTATAGGTCATTAACTATACGTGCCACTGACGAAATCGCGTCGCACTGCAAAATCCTTTCAATCGTATCTGAAGGTTATTCGTGAGTCTGCAGTGGGTATAGAAGAATCCGAAGGCCGATTCACCTTACTTTTGAGTGGGACTATGAGTAGAAAAGTTTCCACTGTGTCAGAGTAGAGCAGCGGTCTCCGAGCTAAGTCCACAGTGTCGATCCTCAGCTTCTCCCTTACCTGTAAAACCACATGGAATTGGTTGGATGAATTCTACAGCTTCTGAATATTGGTTGCCCGAAATCAACTGAAAAATGATGGCTCATCTATGGACAACTGTCCTTATCGTCAGGTATCTGCCTCGTTTATTTCGTGACAAACAGCACATCTGTGCTTCAACCTACAGAAAAAAGCATAAAATTGTGATACCACACTATCTTTTGCGTTCGCAATGTCATTCATCACATCTGCACCGGCTGAGCGTGGAAAGCAGTGGAGAACCAACGGTTTTTGAAACGCCGTATTCAAATAAAATCCGGTCGAACAGCGCTCTAAACCGGTTGATTTCAGGTTGCTAGATGATGCTTAGTTACCTTAGGAGTGAATGATACATACAGAAATCACCACTGGTGAAACGGGTTCATGTGTTGACACTGGGTTTCATCTCATATCTCGGGATTCGGGGTTTGGTGCTCAGAAAAAATGGGCGGATTCGAACATAGCTGTGGGAAAAATATGATGTTGGTCACCCATCGAAATGTGTGCGGAAATGCTTTCATGCTCTTCAGAAATTCAAGGTTGCTAAATACTCCACACTCTGATGGACACCTTATTGTTGTGACCTGTGCGTTGAAAATCCAGATGTGTTTTCAAATCACGTGGTGTGCGGTGTTCTGTGGAGGAACCACTTTCAGTAAGTCCTTTCAAGTAAACTGTCCAGCTGAGGCAAGTTGCTTTTTCTGCTCAGTAGAATTTAACACTCATCTGAAATTACCCCAAAAATGCTTTTTTTATGTAGTATGTGCGTTGCATGTACTCTTCTCTCTGTTCAAAATGTTGTGCTCCTTATAGGGGCATGAAGTACATGTTTGCTTGTCAACACATTTATCTGTTACCTTAACAACAAATCAGTAGGCGAGTTGCGCTCTAAGTGGATTCATCATGCGGTGCCACAACTTGGTATATAGGCTTCAAGCCCTTCCCAATCTCGCGAATCTTTCTTTTGATAGAAGTATGACTGAAGTTCGACAAACACTGTCGTTTGCATATCAGTTTTGTTTTCACGGGAGGCTCAGCTGAATCTGTCGTTTATACTATTCTTCATCTGAATGTGCTGCACAAAGGCCGCCTCATGTTTCACTTGATGCGATATTTGGGATATCGCAGTATATTTTCATAATACAGACTACTCACAAGGTCGCTGAGAACTCTTCGACATCTCACGACCAGCTTTATCCTTTTTTAGGCTTATCCGGTAGGCGTGGTCCCAGAGTTTCCGTCAACTTCACTTTCTACTTGAACCCTAATTGGTCAGATTTCGACTCATTTGAACACCAGTTTGGTCTTCACATCTAGTTGAGGAATATCCTAAACTGTGAAAGCCATATTGATATGCAACCGAGTGAACAAGTCGATTTCCGTGCAATATGGGTTCAAGTAAAACATAAGATTGATCTAAACTCGGGGACTGCACCTACCTGATAAGTCCGAATACCGCGAAACCGGCCGTGGGCTGTGGAAGTGTTTTCAGAAACCTTGTGACCATACATATTTCAACTTACCATTTTTCTGGACAGGTGATTGTTTTATTGATCAAGATACCAATTGTATTTGAGGTTATTTGGTATCGCGTAATGTACTGACGTCATTTCTTATTCTAATTTCTAACTGTGTTGCTACATACCTTCGACACACATGTGGTGGTAAATGACCCAGTCGAAGTTCGTTCGTTTGCATATCTCCGCTGCAAACATCGCTGCTAGTTAGGTATTATTCATTTTAATGGGTTTTACCCCTACAATGAGTAAGGGTTCATGTCAAACTTCTTGGTCTGCTCCCTCTTTTCAAAGGTTTGAAGCATCAGATTCGGGTCCATCTTTCCATGGGTTTGCACACACCAATTCTGGGTGACCACAAATACTCTCATGTGAAATATCTTGCTCCTCAACGGCTATCCCACCGGCTCCTTGAACAGCTCAACATACGCCAGTCCAAAGTGCGTCACCTTCCTCTATATTTGCATGCGAGTTCCCTTCGGCTTTCCCAGAGTGGCCAAATGGCCGGTAAGGCGTTGAATTTCATGACCTCAAAGTCGAAGAATGGACAATCATTCAGTGCGCCAATTGACTTCTTTGCTCCTCCGCCTGCTCACTTTTTGGAGATGCTGAGGCTGATAGGCCTGAAACTCCCACGGCATTTAGCGAAACCTGTGTAACATTCAATGGCCTTTTCTTTTCTGCGGACGTATGAATTACATTCTTGTTTCCTGCAAGTTTTATCCCAGCTGTGATGTGACTTGGGCTAAAATTTAGGCGTTGAAGCAATAACCTGTTTTGTATGCTTGTTGTGGTTCTGATGTTTGTCGTCACGCCATCGCTGCCTAACCGGACATCATGCTAGCTATAACAAAACCGTGAAAGGTTTTTGAACTAGTCTGACATAAGTCATAATGTATGTCCGCTGGGTATGGCATGTACTCTGTGTTTGAATTGGGGGAGGGGTCACCATTTTTCACGTATATGTAAACAAGCAGTTAGATAGCCTCATCATTCTGAGTTTAATTGTAGGGAGTTGTGGGGTTTGTGGAATTCAAATGAATGAGTATTCTGAGTGTGCTTGATGCTTTTCGTGGTATTTTATAAATTTGCTTGCTCTACACAGGGGCAAGCAGATCTCCGTCACGATCACATGGGATAAACTAGAAACGTCTAAAAAACGGTATTTGTAAGCGAGTTACGCAAGAAATAAAGGTATTTGAGGTTTCCCTTCTCTCCAGTGGACAGTCACTGAGTAGACTTCCATTCTGTTTGACATTACTTTAGCTCTCAAACAGTATCCCGGAAATTATTGGACAGCTCACAACCGGTTTCGCCCTTCTTGGGGCTCATCAGATAGGCGCAGTCCCACAGTCACCGTCAACCTTATGTTCTGCTTGAAACCAAATTACACGAAATTAGCAAAAGACGCTCATTTTGAAACAAATTTGGTTTTGCGAGAGACTCAGCTGAATCTCTCGTTTATGATGTTTTCAAATGTTCGCAAATGACTGATTCGCCTGGGTTCCAGATGAGTCTCTCGCAAAACCAAATTTGTTCGCAAATGAGTGTATTTTGCTGGGTTCATCACTTGTTTTTTACGTTAACTCCACGCTCATGAGAACGGTGCATTCACAGTTGTCATTCTCTTGGACTGAGCGATTTGACCGGAGTAGCATACCCTCTAGCTGTGCCCCGTTGTACACAGGTTTGGAGGAGTTATGGGTGCATGTGCATGCAATGACCTTCTATTTTGTGCGAGCCAACTGAGATGCTCCTTCAGTTGTGAGTGTGCCTCGTTTGCCTAGTTTCCTGGTGGCTTTAGTAGCTTTGGCTGCCGTGATCTTGTCAAGCGTACTTCTTTCTACCCCCGTACTAGAATGAACTCTGAGGGACCGTAGGTACTGATGAAAAGGAAACTGAACTCGTTCTTTTGAACCTGTGGTTGACTTTTGGTGTATCGTGAGGCGTCTCTTCAGAAAAAAGGACTAAATTGGGTTCATGGGCGAACATAACTGTTCCATTATTGGCAATGCGCAAGCTTTTTATGCTGGTTATAACACAGAACCGTGATTGCCGTGCATTACTAATGTTGTGATCTAAGGCCAAGCTACTTTTTTTGTTCAGACTGGATCGTGTGTCGCGTCTTCTAATCCACTCTAGTTTGAGTTTCGGAATGCAAATACGTTTCCGTGGGAGATTATCTCGAACTTCCAACTGTCTTATGAAGCCACTTTAGTGGATGAAAATGGATGCCTTTTTCTTGTCTATTTAAAAGATACAAGTCACGTGATGGATTCATCATTTCATAGAGAATCAATAGATTGGGAATACCAAGATGTGAAGGTCGTCAAGTGGTCGGGTGCGTACTCGGTGTTGGTTGGACAATAGACTTTTAAGTGAATTAAGGACATGAATTATCCTCCACGCAGTCTCGACACTAGCATTACTAGTGAAATACCACCACCCGTTGCAGCGTTGCTCTTTGTGGACAAAGAGAACTTGACTGGCTGAACACGCAGGTCATTTCAAAATGGTGTCCTGAACAGACCAGATCATGAAAGAAAACGTGAGATTGCACCTTTCTTAGTCACCGCGATGAGTTAATTGTTATCCTGTTTAAGTGACATTCGTTCCATACCGAGGGAACGGTTTTTAGGTACAAGCCGATAATAATTTCCCCGAATATATGAGGTTTGAAGTAGAAGGGGTTTACCGTTGATACGTCTGATCGTATTGCGTGTTCTAATGATAAATCCTGGCAGCTGTATTCTCCATAAATTAAAAGATTATAGTTCGCCGCTGACCACAATGAAACGGATTTACTAATAAGACCTGAGGCCCAATCATTAAACAGTTTAGCAGTATGCCTCACCTCAATGATAACTCGTACACACTTTTCAAAGCACACTTCACCAACGTGGATACCCGATTTTCTCTGGGATCCGCCCTACTCGCCTTATACTATGAAATGTATGAACTGGTTCACAGAACTTCGTCACGCCACCTTTTGGTGCTTACGTTTTTTGTGTCCAATCTCCAAAAAAACTTTGTGTACAGTGCGATACTGATCTCAGGCAGTTTCAAACAGACCATAAACAAGTCGCATATGTTTTTGACAACTATCTTACCTGCAATATTTGCCACTCAGGGACTTATCATCAAAAATTCCGGGAAGAACAGAATAATTGCCAAAAAACTTAGCCTAGGGCGGTGGCGAATCATTATGAAGGCGTTGTCACCCGGACGTGTAGACGTTTAAATCTTTTAAAAGCCATATTTAGTGAAGAATCACCTATTGGATTGCCACACCTTAAAATTATGGTAGCTAGTTACTCTTTCTTGCAAACAATGCATCTGGAAGGAAAACTAGTACCAATTTAATATCCCGTAGTTTCTGAAAAGAATCGGTGAGATACCTCACGGTTATAGCTGCGAACCTTCTAAATGCCATATTAATCGCACTTTCAATCAGTCAACGGATGTTTCGTCAGCTTTTCTGCTTCTCTGAATATAGATTAATTTATATGAAAGGCTATCTACTCCGTTTTTGGTTTTAAGTCCTTGTCTCTTGGTGCACGAACATCTGAGGCTGAAATTGCGTTTTCCCATTTGCGGCACTAAACCAATTTTGGTGTCTGTACCGCAGTGAAGGGCTGGTTTTTTTTACAGTGGTGTAGCGATATCGATATCCAGAGATCATGTGCAACGTCGGACACAAAGAAGTTGAAGCTTTAGGTAACGTCGTGCAAGACAGCCGGAAGATCGGTTTTCAATCATGATCTTGAGAATTATCTCGTTCAATTCAAGGACCTCGCACGTCTTTAACTGGCCGATCATATATGTCGAGGAAGTTACGAATTGGGGAGTAAGGAAGAACTTGTTGCCGAATTTGCTCCATCGGAGCAATAGATTAGGCTCTGCAGGTGCGGCGGTTGGTGTATGTTTCACATATGTATAACAGTCATCTACTCAATGAAGCCTTGTTTCAGTTTCGAAGATGCTAATGTCTGGAGATCCGTCACGAAGAGACTGGACCTTACCGTGGTGTGACGGTTTGCGCACCTCAGCGATCCATTGAGCTATACTGGAGAGTGTTCCGCGACACTCACAGAGTCTCTCACACCAGG